TGCGTGTTTCGTCTCTAAGTGCCGTTTCAATTTCGCGGGTCTGCTTTTACCGGTTCTCACGGTCTCTCCGCTTGCAGAATTCTTAATTTTTTCTTCTACCCTGAAGATGGAGGCGATACGTTCCTCCGAAACGTCGGTTAACACCACATATACACGGTGCCAAATCCCAGAAGACTGCTTTCTTCAAGAACTAATACTATTATACAAATGAGAGAACTAATGAAAACTGAATTATACAAAATATATTTGTATAGGGCAAACACGTGGAACAATTCATTGGACAATATTGAGTAAGTAAAAACTAAAGCAATCCCTGTAACAGACCGTGAAGGCCCATAGGGTTGTGAGACGTTGAGGGTCCCACATTTTCTAGACAATCGGCTCAAAGATGGCAGTAAGATTGTCAGCCTTATGAGCCGGCCGCGCTTTACTCCCAAGGAAAATTATTCAGTTAATTCCTGGTACTCATTTATATTAGAGGCTGAGTCGACCCCAGGGCTCTAGTGCGGCTGGAAGGGTTAAGTCAATTGAAAATAAGGTAAATTCAAAACTAGAGATAGAAATGACTAAAGATACCAACAGCAAAACCAAAAGCTATAAAAATTGCGATCCAATTTAATACAGCAAAATAATGACAACAAACAAGGATTCTCCCCAAGATACTTAATCCCTCAGACATACAATTCACAGAAAACGAGATCCAGCTATTAAACAAAGGATTAAAATATAACCTACAATTCAAACCAATACACTGGCTGGAAACAATAGCATTAGAAGTCGAATCAGCGCTAAACTACTCTAATGAATCTGAACGGAAGTATCTATGACACGCGGTTAAAAAACGCGGCTTAACAAAATCGTGCAAAATAGCATAACAGCAAAACAAGAATAGGAGGCAATGAAAGACATCGGAAGGAAAATAACAAAACAAATTATAATAACACAAGCAGACAAAAGAAAAACTACAGTCGTAGTATTACAACAAGAATATAACAAAATCGACAGTGACTTCATGAATGAGCATCAATTTACGTATATTACGCAAGAATAAAAAAAAACGAATACAAAAAAAAACATAAATCAAGCCATAAAACCGTGCCCCAAACACATCACGAAAAACTAACAGTGGAAATACTACAACATCGACCTCCAAACGCCTAACTTTCATGCCCTAGTAAAACCACAAGATATCCCAGTTTCCATATGACCTATGAATAACTGGCGTAATTCTCCAGTATACAAATTAGCCACACACCTAACACAAATACTAATATAAAACATCCAGCTACCTTCCGCACACAACATAAAAGAACACACTGCATCTCATCACAGACTCGTTAATCACACAAATACACGATTATGCTCCTTTGATATATCGAAAATGTACACTAATATAGCAACAATAAGAATTGTCAACAAAATGCCAACATCATCAATACACCAGAATACACAAAAGAATACACTTAAAGAAATAGTAAATATAAATACCATATTCTCACATAACTACGTGCTTAGAATATAACAATTATTATTGTACGCAAGGTCGGTCACGGCATCCGAGCGGTCTAAGGCATGCACTGTCTTCGCTCGCTCGGAAGCTGGGATCGTGGGTTCGAATCCCACTCAGGGCATGGATATTTGTTTGCGTTTTTCTGTGTTTGTCTACAGGTAGAGGCCTTGTGACGAGCTGATCACTCGCCCAAGGAGTCCTACCGTATGTGTAAGATCTAGAAAAACCGAAGTGAACGGAGTTCATGGAGGTAGGCCTAGGCCCACTGGGGCTGTAGTGCCAAGGGGAAAAAAATTGTACGCAAGAGGAAGAACTGGCAATGGGTGCGACATCCTCAGCAGTGTAAGCTGAAACATTTATACAGTTCATATAATGAAATAACACACATTATATCCTCCTAAAACACAAAATAATTTATTTTGGATACCTAGATGACGTACTATTAGGATACAGACTGTCCCAGCAGGAAAGGTCAATATTCTGGGAGGTCATAGTATCGGTCATTCAAGCCAAAAATTATATATAAACATGTGTCCTATTCCGGACGGTATCGGAGATAGAGCTATTTCACTGTGCAGTTCCAAAGTTGTTGATAAGAACAGGATATTACGTGCTGTTTCTAATACCGGTATTTATTGTTCAAGTGACAAAGTTGATGCATTTTACCCGGTGAAGTACATTTTCGAAAATTACAATGCACTTTTAAACTCGTGTCAGGTCATGGCGCGTTGCTCATCTGTACAGTGTACAATGTACTGTACAAAGGATAACACAGCACACCGTTTCAGTCAAAAAGAAAAAGGGAACAATAAAAAATATAACAAATTGATCAATTCATATATTCTGGAGATAAAATAAAATCACATTCATATTTAAAGACATCGATATAAAAAGTGTATAGAACTGCCAATACCAATCTAAACCACGCGCCATTAAAATAACACAATAATAATAGGGTGTGTATGCTTAAATGTATGAGTTGTCCTTTACAGCGTATAGACCAAGCAGGACTTTATTTCGGAAAACGATTCAAGTAACATTTACTTTGCAACAGAATGGAAGAAATTTACGTTTACCTGTGCACAGCGCATACTAAATACAGGACAAGCATAGGGAACTCACAAGACACAATGGAAATAATAGCTTGGAAATGTAGACATATGAATAATATAGACAAATGTAACATCTTTTATACACAAAACTAAACAGACAAATGAAATAAGTACTGTTTGATTTCAAGAATCTCATATTTGAGGAATATACGATCATTACGCTAAAAGATGGCACGGAATATATACTTCCTCAACCATATTGCAGATAACAGCATCATACGACCACATTAAAAATAAGATAACCTAGTCATTCACAGTATCAGCCCCACACAGTCACTCAGCATCAGCATCAGCAAAATGTAAGGGAACTACCACTCTAAAACACTTACTTCTGGAGCCAGGCCGCGCCATAGCTCAAGCAATTAGTCGTTGGCTTCCCACCGCGGCGGCCAGGGTTCGATCCCGGGGTCTGGCCAAGTGGGATTTGTGGTGGACAAAGTGGCACTTTGGCAGGTTTTCTCCGAGTACTTCGGTTTCCCCTGCCAATCTTCATTCCATCAATTGCTCCACAATCACCCTCACCTATCATCTGGGGCTGGTACAATAGGCTAGAAGTGGTCGCAGTACAAGGGACTTAGTCCCACCCCACTAGCAATATTACTTATGGAGCTGAGCCCTTCTTGAGGAAGCAGCTTCTTGCAGCTACTCATGAATTTCCCAGCATTTTATGAAACCCGAAAGTTTATTATTCTGTTGATAAGAGCCCTCCACTGATCCCTATCCTGAGCCAGAGCAATCCAATCCTTACCATCCCATCCTGTCTCCAATCAATTTTAATATTGTCCACCCACCTACTCCTTGGTCTTCCTAGTGGTCTCTTTCCTTCTGGCGTTCCCACCAATATCCTATATGCATTCCTCTTCTCATTCATGCTTCATGCCCTGCCAACCTCATCCTCCTTGACTTAATCATTCTAATTATACTTGGAGAAGAGTACAAGTTATGAAGCTCCTCATTATGCAGTTTTCTCCAACCTCCTGTCACTTCATCTCTCTTCGTTCCAAATATTTTCCTCAACACTCTATTCTCAAACACCCTCAGCCTGTGTTCCTCCAGTGTCAGAGACCAAGTTTCACACCCATACAGAACCACAGGAAAAATTGTAGTTTTGTATATTATAATTCTTATGTTTTTGGATAGCAGACGAGAAAACAAAAGGTTCTGGACTGAATGGTAGCAAGCATTACCCGACTTCAGTCTCCTCTTAATTTCCTCCTCCATCAGGTTTCTTATGTAGTTTATCCATGAATCCGTCAATGACCGAGGCTTCTTGAGAATTTTCGTAACAATTTTATTTTTTATGATGAGGAGCTGTTAGTCCCACGCCCAACCCTCTAGCTGGAAGACCACCCCTTGTCGGCTCTCCGCGACTGCTTATTCAATATATTCGCAGCTTCCACTATAAGACACACTTAATAAAAACTGTTATATTCGTATGTTTTATTGTTTATATTTCTGCGTTATATATTTGAATTTTACATTTCAGTTTTATTATACGAGGAAACAAATATCGCATAAGCGAGAACCTCATTCAAATACTCATAAAACTAGTGCACACGCATCTAGAACCAGCGCACAGTGACTTAACTGCAATAACTTTACCAATAAAAGAATCGTTCTTACATACAAAATTATGTGATGATATGAAATACGAACAGCAAGCCGTAAAGCTATAAACAGAGAAAAAATCTAATTAATAACAATAATAGCTCTCTGTTCATTTCATTACCTTCTACTGATTCAATTAAAATTAATTTTAACCTAATTTTTAAATTTGCATATAAATTGCATCCGACGTTACCACTATAAATGACACATACAAACTTTCCTGAAAGGAAATTGTAAACATGGGCCAAAGCGGCAGAATGTTAGCTACGTGTTTGTGAACTCTGACTTACTTGATAATGGCCTCAGTGGTCGAAATACACATATGTAGTCGAGTGAAGACTGCGTGCACCAGTTTAATTTACACATGAATATTGTCGACGGATCATGCAATAAATAAATTCCTCTTCAATGTTGGGAGGGATGTCTAAGGTAGGTTTCCTATTCAGGCGAGATACCAGAAACACGTGGGGGAATCCCCTTGTTTGCTATAGGAGTTGTTAAGTTCAATACGTAGAACTTCAGTTTATTCGCAACACCTTTAATAGCCGTCTTCTTTCATTTATTGAGCTGATCCTGATTTTTCCAGCAGATCTTACTCCAACTTGTATCGGTGCTCCAAGCTCCTTGGCATTATATACATGACTTGTGGCGTGAGTTCCACCGAAACAGCTAAATATGAACCAGTTGTTCATGTTTCCAAACCGGCGGACTTCATTTGTGCTGTTACAGACGAGGAAGGTCCGGAAGTGACGCAAGATCCAGGACCTGATGGGGACCCAACATCAGACGGTCGCCAAGTTGAGGTGGCTCTTGGGGGTGCCGTCCAACTGCAGTGCCCCGCAGCTACTCCAGGAGGGTGCTGGAGTCGTGTGGATACCGGCGGTCGCCTGCAACCCGTAGGCTCTGGCCCCGAGCTGAAGTTGGACAGGGTGCTATATCAGGAAGCAGGAGAATATCGCTGCATTGCCGGGGCCGCTACTCCCGAACTGGATCAGTGGCGTGCAGACCTGGATGTCCAGCTTATCGTGACCGGTAAGCACGACCATTACTGTGATGTGCGTGAATGAGCAGAGTGTAGAGAGGCAGAGAAACTCAGCACAGTGGCACCGTAAAGTAGGAGAACACGATGGGTGGGATATTGTGTGTGCATAAATTATTATTTTTATTAATACAACAACAAATTATGGGCACAATTGTATGAATATATCGCAGGCCTATTACAGTGAAATGAGCTTCCCCAAGGACTAGGTACAACTGGTAAATCAACTTCACCCAGTAGTAAAATCACCCGCCCCCCTACCAACCGTGTTTAAATTTCCGTGGTGTATAAGAAGAGAAGCTGGTCACGGTAGCCCGGGTTCGAATCATACTCAGGGCATGGGTGGTTAGTGTATGTATGTGTATGTGCGTTTTTCTGAGTTTGTGTACATGTATAGAGACCTTGCGTCGAGCTGATCACCCGCCCAAGGAGCCCTACCAAATGTCTAAGATCTGGTATACCGAAGTGAAATGAATAGTTTCATGGAGGTAGGCCAAGGTTCAAATTGGGGCTGCAGCGCCAACGTAAAAAAAGAAAAAAAGAGGAAGAGAAATTCTGCCAACATCACGAATTATCTAGTAACAAAACAGTGCCGTAATACAGGTCACAATCATTTCCCATTTTAGATGTTGTGATCCAGTGGAGCTTCCAGAACCCATCTTGTGTTAGAAGCTAACCTTCATATCAATTTTATCCCCTGATGTAGCATAAACATCCAGAACAATGATATCACACCAGCGGCCTCTTGGTGTTCATTGAGACATCCAATCGCTTACAAACTCTACGTTCTTAATTGTTGATATGATTCCCTTATGTACAGAGAACTGTATCTAATTCGTGATTCTCATTCCCCTGCTGGTGTGCCCCATCTCACCTCCTGCACTCCCACTGAACCTAACTTATATTTTGATATTACTTTCGCAACTGTCATGAGCGAATTTGCACTCTACACACTTCATACATTCGACGTACCAGATCTCATGACCACTTTCATTAGTTTACGTCGTGTATCGAAATAATCCGTCCAAGTCAAAGACACTTTGTGGTATTTCACATTAAACCTGTTTCTTGCGGTGACCAACTCCCAAATTGGAGGACCACCCCTTGTGGGCTGTCCACTACTGCTTATTCAATATATTCGCAGTCTCCCTCCATCTTTGTAGGTCGTCTCCTCCACCCGCAACCTGAGGACACGCCATGTCGTGGTGACAGGGACCCACCTAACAAGAGACTGTATGCTCCTCTGAAACATGAATCAAGGTTGATCAGAAGAGGAGTATTGTAGCATGCATGGGTAGCAAGGAAATGAGTGCTAAAATTATTTTGAAACCTCAAGAGACGAGATCTCTTCTTAGGATCTCAGACTAAAGAACAGGACATCATTCCTTAACACTTTCACCCCCCATAAATACACCCCATCTGCTATTTGGTGAGAGAAGCATTAACCCAGGATGTCTGAACTTGCCTCTGGCACATGAATACCTTAAGTTTTTTCATAGTAATTTTCTGAACCTGACGTAATGATCCACGTCATTAACTGAACATTTTAATTAAAAAGTATCGAATGTGCTGGTTCCAAGAACAAATCCTAAGTCCATGTCATGAAATGTAATTCGCAAGTGGGAATGTACTGTATCAAAATGTTCTCAGACAGAAGTAGCGAATTGTATTCCAATGAGGTAGCCTTTCTAAGAACACTATCACCCGAGGTGATTCTGCTATAAACAGAAATGTTTACGCGTAGTTCCTTATGTTGAAATTGTGAATTCAATTTTCTTTCTTCTTCCTTCGGGAAATCTTTAACTTTATGGCTGTATGCTTTCAGACTTTTGTAAAAAAATTGTGCATTAATTGTGTTCTTCTTCTTTCTGTTATGTAACTGTGGTGGGATCTGTATAATCCCCAGCTCATAGACACTAACTTGTCTTCATTCAGTCTCACACCTTGCTGGTTACCAAATTTCTGCGAACTAAAACAAAACAGCAAAACTGCAGAACATAAATGTCAAATTTGCGTGGTTTTAATAAGATTTTTTTAACTGTGGAACGTCATTCTTTCTTTTCCTTCTCCAAGTAAGTTATTATGAAGGTGATTACATGAAGGAAGTTTCGCGGGAGAGATACTTAGCGTGGGGAAGATGTGAGTACAGAATTTTAGTCAAAAGAGGCTGACGGGAAGGGACCAGCTCAGAGACGTAGATGGAAGTGGGAGAGTCATATTGCATTACACCTAAAAAGAAGAATATGGTAGACTCTGAAGTGAATAGCTAGCTCGCAGGCGAAGCATTGTGGGTACGGTAATCATCATTCACTTCTCATAAAGTTGGAGAATTTCTTGCCCGGCTTGCAAAATCCTTTCCGCCCAGTGTCTGTATTTCAGATATTGTCCTCAGAATACTATTTTCATGTATACACTACACCAAGTTTCTTACCCATATAAACAGCAAATAAAGTTACATATTAAATGTAGGTTATGCAATCTCACTCAAAACTTTTCAGCTAAACGTTGTTTGTAACAATCACACTGAAAAGAAACAGTTGCCTGAGGCGTTCTATACACTGAAACAAAATGTCAGTTGAGCTCGTGTTGATACAGTCCTCGGCTCTATGTGACGTTGTACAAAATCTGTTGGACGAGAGTTGAGTGTTCATTCACACTCTAAAAGCCAAACTACATAGTAGACTCGTTGTTACAGGATGCAACCAAAACACGTCTCTGAACGTTTAATATTCAGATAAATGGGAAATATGGCGAACACATAAAATCATTTATTTTATTTATTTCTTTTCTTGGCCAGTTTCTATTGCATTCATATGAAAAATTAATAAGACAGTATTTAGTGACGTAGAAAAAGGTCCGATTGTTTCTGCAGTACGGGATTCGGATTTCCAAACTAAAATATTACACGCGTTTCCGCCATGCGTGCTATATGTACCACTCGCCTTATCCTTCTCAATTCGGTCACGTGGTAGAGAATTTCTTTAAAATAGACCAGAATGCTACCTTCAGAATTCGAAAAATCATAATGCAACATGGTAATAGCGTTGCCGTCATTTCTGAGTGTCCGATTCAAAACTGTCCTTCGGACAAACCCTTGCAGCACTTGGCCGTCTCTAATCATGGAGACTGCGAATTCTATTTAGACAAGTCGTAGATATTTCTTCGTTTTACAGTACCTATCTCTGCCTCGTATAACAGAGACAAATAATGTACATATCCCCTCAGTATTCGAACACGGGACAACAGTATTTGGACGCCGTGAGACCCCATAGCCAGTGGCAGAAGCCAAGTGTGAAAGCCTACCATAGAACTGATGTCCTGTAAGAAGGAAAAGTAAAATGTTCTTCACGCAATATTTTGCAGGTTTCAAGCAGTTGATATTCAGTGTAGTGTCATAAGGGAAAATTGCTATGAAGAATTTCCACTCTCGAATAGAATCCGGGATACGGCAGAAGATATTCAGTGAGATGGAACGAAACTTCAGAACCTCTGTCTTGCTTGTTTTTTCGTTGCTCTGACGGCGGTTGCGGTGGTAACCAAGGCTACCAGACACAGTACATGAAGGAACTTAGAATAGAGCGGTATAAAATTTGATGTCCGTAGTACATTACATAAATGACATTATAATCCTTCATAAGTCTCTTGTCTTTTGGAAGTCTGTCACTAAAGCAAATTCCAGAACAATATGTAAGATCTGAGGTTTTCACGGCGGTGACTATTAACAATGCCGTCTCCTGGGATGTGGAGCCGTGTAGATCTTGTGTAAACCGACGTTTCGGAGGAACATATCACCTCTATCTTCAGGGTAGAAACATCCACGAGCTAGGAACCAGCGTGACTTGTGACTGCACAATGGAATAGGAATCACCTCCTTGAAGAGTTCTGGTCTTCATATCCGTGGTAACAGTCTGCTTAGAAGTCACTGCCATGGAAATGTCTTCAAAAGTTCCATCAAAACGCAGAGCAACGGCGCATTTCGTGTTACCACGGTAACGTGCTCCGCGAAGCCCTGCCCAGGAGATGGGCAAGTTGCAGCTTTCAGTCCACACGTCACAATAAGAAAAACTTAACAAATAAAGCCATTATCCACATCCAGCATATATTTTAGACAGGCATAAACATGGCTCATTTACCCTTTTCCAGGAAATATAAAATATCCCAACATTTCACAAGCCAGGAAAATAACCATCATTACCGGAAATTTACCTCCCAGCAACCCCTCCATAATCTCTCAGCCTGGCTTCCGCCAAAGTGCTCTTACATTTTATACGTTTAAGAATGATGCAAATGCCATTGTACATGACATCATATCTGGTGTCCCTACATTGTTTCTGGCATACATAAAGAGCATTGCAGATGGACAAGATATAGAGTTCAGGTTATCCGCTGATGGCACCATGCACCTGGCCAGAGATTACTACTCCGACTTGCCATGCAGTAACCAGTGACACACATCAAGTTCTAGAACAGTGATTTGCAAACTGGAGAGTATCCACTTCCTTAGACAAAACACTAGCAATACCTCGCCCAATATTTACTTAGGCCCCTATCTGAATTGAGATTTTTAAGCAAATCGATTTTTTGGTCAGAGAAAGAGAAGTAGTATCGTAGAAATTCTTGTGAACGGAATCTTCTCTGGACTGAATACTATATATACGAGTACGTATAATACAGCCAGGAACACGTTGTCAAGATTTTCAGAGCTGTGCCCCTTCCTTGGAGACCACAGGAATCTGCCACCTGTCTTGAAACTCCAACTGTACATGATATTCATTACATAAGCTGTCGGTCCGGTATGGTTGTACAGAGATCTATAACCCAGGTGATACGAATATTCCAAAACCCCGAAATAAGTGTTATCCTTCTAAAACTAGCTCAGTAGGTTGAACTTGAGCTCCAAGTTACAAACGCGTGCAAGCAACGAAACTAATACAGACTAATACAGAAACTAATAAGACATGTGTGTGGAACGTACTGGTCAAAACTCTGTTAT